CAGAAAAATGAACAATTTTGGACCTTCCAATAAATTTGAAACACTGCCAGTATAAAGCCCAAAAGTCATAATAAGAACAAAGAAGAGATTTTTGAAACATTCCCACTCTTTGGTTTTGAATTGCTGCTACTGCTTCCATCTCTCCAGTAACAGCATGAAAGAAATCCATGTGGGGTGTCATAATTCTCTTTCTTCCCATTCTGTAGACATCTTAGAACCTCAAGATTCACAGGATTCCAACTTCTGCCAGCATACAAACAGAATATTCCCAAATCTACCCATGTATTACTCTACAGCAGTGTTTTCCAGCTTTGAAAACTTTCAAGGCATGGACTTCAACTCACAATCACCATGCTAATTCGGAATTTTAGGTAAAGAAGTCCGCATATCAAGAAGTTGCCAAGGTTTGGAAATACTGTTCTAGAGTGACAGGGCTGAAAAGATTCCATAAGAACTGGGGAATGGGTTCTCAATCTTCATTTTTCTCCAACATGAAATTTCATCTCTGGCTTTGGTGGGGGAATTTTTAAACAGTTTTACAGTCTCTTGATATATCCTAAAGAACCCACAGCATTGCAGCTTTAGCATATTTGGGGTGGAGTAGTGACCAGGTGAATATAGATTTTAGTCCTCTGCATCTTCTTAGAGAAAAAGAAGAAATTAGTAACTACTTACAGTATTATGCAGACTGTTGCACTATTCCAAGAAAATACTTATTTTATTTGTTTCTGGGTACAGTATTTCTATACAGCTCAGCTCTTATATTATTATTATTAGATTTTTATCCCGCCTTTATTACTTTTACAAGTAACTCAAGGCAGTGAACATACTCTTTTGATTACTTAATGTCAAAAAGCTGTATAAAAATGCCTGACCACACTCTAACCTATATACAAATATTATTTCCAACTGTATATAAAGTACGTTTTATTTTGGAAATGAAATGTTATAACTAGTAATATTTTTCTTTCATTATATTCTAGTCATCTTCTCTGTATACCACTTTTGATGAAGTAAGTTCTTTATAAGAGTCTTTGAATTATATGATAAAGTGCTAGTCAATTGTTCTTTTAAACTTGGCATGCTAAAATTAGCTAAAATTACAGTATGGAAAATTCAGTGAAGACATTTTTTTAAAATATATTGTTGAGATTTTAAGCTTTATAATACTACAATAGCCTGTGTGTCTTACGAGAAAAAAGATAGAAAGCATTTCATAAATGGGGAGAAAAAACGTACAATAATTACAGCAATGCATCTCTTCTTTGATAGGCCTAAATTAGTTTCTAATCAATAGTATTCAGTAGAGTCAGAATAATTGGATTTAATATCCAATTAAAGATTGGATACTGCATATTTATGGTGTAGAATGCAGCATGTTACTCCTTGCTCAACTTGGGAGGGAATGCAGTGCTTGCTAGAGAAGTATATTTTATGGTCCCATATAAATACTGTTCTAGGCTACTATTTTCTATAGATTCTATTAACTTGACTAATTTCAATATATTTTTATTAGGCAGGTTTTATGATACAGAAGGCCCAAATCAGGTTAATTTTGAGTGAAACTGTTTATCAGGATTCTTTTCAGACTAGCTTCTAGCATGATTTTAAGATATTAAAATTGAGTTATTACTCTTGATTGCCCATACGTATTGTCTGTACCAATAATGAAAAGAAGGGCATATCTAACAGTTCTTCTGGGACCATATAGCTATTTTCATACATACGTGCCTATATAGCCACCATGTTATGAAAAGTGCAGAAGTAAATTTGTAGTAGAGTATGCCCCAAGTGCAAGAAAAGGTTTGTTTTATTTATTTTATTTATTAAATTTATATGCTGCCCATCCCACATTATCTCCATCCTGTTCAACCTCTTCAATGTAATCTAGGTTCTTATCTAAACAAGAGACTGTCTTATTTAACCAACATGCTGTGGCCTGCATTCCATCAACAAGGAGATGCGTGTCATATATTGTTCTATATGTTGGAATTTGCATCTTGAAGTGTTATAAACCATATTGTCCTAGGCAGAAACAAAGTATAAAGTGAAATGTCAGCATCTACCTTGTTCCCCTAATCACTTTGTAAGGATGAGACATGGATGTACTACCCTATTTTGCATTGTCACGTCCTAGAAGGCATTGGCACAATCCAATGTTTCCAAGAAAGATATAGCAAAAATGTGCACAAATGCTGCAGTGGCCAGAACATAGTCAATTCTGCCTGATTTTTCTTAGATAAGTTCCCAGAGTTCCATTGCAAGCCTCTGCTCCTATTAAATCAAAACCTGTTCCATTAATTCTTAAATGTATTTCACATCCCTTATTTTTCCTATGTAGATACTAGCAAAACAGTTGAATAATGAAGAAATGAATCAGCTCCCCGGAGTCCTTGGTGAATCAGCAATGGTGATGTAATTAAGTTTTGGGGTTTTTGTGTTTCAGTTGGGAATGCTGAATACTTCTAGGTTCACAAATTCATGCTCTATACATGTTTCTGACAATAAGCCTAATTGGTCTTATAAATCTAAAAAGGTATTAATATAATTTCACTATATAGTACAGTGTTATCTTTGGTCAGTCTATGTGGAAAACTGGAAGCTACATAGATTTCTGTATTCATATGCAACATTCAAGCTTTTAAAATTGGGAAAAAATCACATTAACTTATTAGGCCACAATTTTTTTAAAAAAATACAGTTATGGACATGTGAGAATGCTACACATATACAGAGTTTGACGTTCAGTTTTCATTATCAAAGAAGAAAAATGATTTAAGTAGTTTCTTTCCAACTATTGCAAAAAATGGCAACTAAGGGTTGCTATTTTGGGTTGGGTTTTGACTTCTTCCAAGGTTTTCTTTGATGTATGACTGTGAACAACTGGAATATTTGAAGTACAGTAGATCAAATGATGATGAGAAAAAAAAATCATCTTATTGGCACATTTTGGCAGGAATTTCTTTGGGATTTTTTGAACCATCAAGAAGGCCCACGTGTTAGAGACCATCTGAGCCATGGAGAAATCAGCTTAAATAACTTCCCAAGAGAAATAGCAAATTCCATGCTTTCATTTTCTATTACACTCCTCTGCAGATTTTCACGGGATGACTTGGCTTCCATTAAGGTAAGGAACATGCCAACTTACACTAAATTTTAAACTACATTAAAATTACGCTGTTGTAGCTTTCAAATCCAAATATTTATGTATTTAGAGCATATGGTCTCCTTGTTCTATATAGCATATCTGTATGTTTTGTAAATCTCTGTTTATGGAGACAGAGCAATCTGGTGGCCTACCTGTAGTCCTACTTTTTAGATGGCCGCTTGATTGCCACATTCCCTGAGAAGTTATTTGTAAAGGGGAAATTTTTATCCTGAATATCATTTAATGTAACATAAAGGAATAAAGCCAGAAGGAAATTCAACTATTTGTCTTTTTATATGAATTTTTAAAGAAGGAGGCAGCAAAACTACCTTTGTTCCTTTTCCCAGTTTTCTATTATTATTATTATTGGCTTACTTACTTATTTATTTTTATAATTCAGAGACATTCTCAGATCAGATATGCATATGTATGTAACATTCAATATTCATCACACTATTATTCCCTTTCAAGATAAGCAGTGTTATGCAAAGCTGAGAAAAGGAGTATGAAGTATTAAGCCAAAAAACTAAGGCATAATTCTTATATAAGGCACAAGAAAAAGAAAAAGGAAAGATTTTATATGCATATGCCACTGTGCTGTTCCATTTGAGAATAAGCAATGACATGTAAAGTGCAGAAAAAGAGTAGAAAGTAGTAAGCAGGACTTCCGGTGGCAGGCTCCTTCGCTGGACGCAGCTGTTTGCTGCTCCCGCCTGTTTCCGCGTAAAAGCCGGTTTGACAGCCTGCATCAGCTGTCAAACGGCTTGATACCTTTCCCCTGGGCATAGGGGGAAAGGTGAGCTGCCCGAGGTAGGAGTTGAGTTCCCGAGTCGTCCCTTGTGGACGATGTAGGTGAGANTAACTCAGTTGGAATGCAGGGCATAATTTATTAGAGGTTATTTGCCTATTACCCATAAGTTGTCATTCCTTGCAATCTTTGAAATAAGATTCCATAGGGTGTAGGACAAATCATCCTAGCTAACTCGCCCCAGCCGACTTGATGCAGGACAACTTTCCATGCCAACTCAACATGGGACAACTTGCTGCAGGACAATTCAGCGTGGGATAACTACCTGTTTAACACAGCGGAAGGAAGCTTTTATTCCCCCCCCTCTCCCCTTCTGCTGAATATCAGCAGAGGAGGTGATACATTTATCTGCCTAAGTATTGAAAACCTTATGATAGTGATGACGAACCTATGGCACGCGTGCCAGAGGCGGCACTCGGAGTCCTCTCTGTGGGCACACACGCTGTTGTCCCAGCCCCGCCTCCCCCCATGGCCCCCTCACCAGCACCCCCCCCGGAGGAGAGTTGTCATCATGCGCAGCCTATGCGGAGCAGTGCAGCCAAGGACATGGCAGCCGGGCAGCAGGGACAAGACTCTGCCCTCATGCCCTGTCGCGCACAGATGATGCTCCGGGGCACAGGCAGAGGGTGTGGCCGCCATGGCGTTGCAGGGCTGCCTGGGCGATCTGCGGTGGGCCATGGAGGCGGTGGGTGGCCCTGTGGGTGGGTGGGGGTGGGGCACAGCGGGGATAAAGGGGGCGGGGCAGGGTGGAGTGGGGGTGGGGTGGGGCAGGACAGTTTTTGGACACTCGGTCTCTAAAAGGTTCACCATCACTGCCCTATGAGGTATGTTTGAGTCAAAAAGTAACAAAGGCAACCGTAATCAAGCAAGAGGATCAGTGTGAGGATTTCCACATTGCCCAACAACTAACAATATGCTCCAAGCATAGTAAGATTCCCTATTATCGCAGATTATGGCATTTGAATAGTTAAAACCATTTTTCTGCATAAAGTAAGAACAATATGTGCTGCAGCTCAGTCCCACAATACTATTTCTTTCAGATATGCAGACTGTGTCATTTTGCTACTTCCTCAGCTGGAAGGTGGGCTTAGAGTACTCTTCACAGCCGTTAATAAATGCCCAAGCAGACTAATGACAGCTGAGGTAATCATATTTATCTATTGTTATCCATATGTTTCTTTAAAAAAAAAGAAATTTGTTGAAAATTATATGCACTATATATGCATTAACAGAGGGATAGAATCAAGATCACGTGAAGTATTAATACCACTTTACAATGCCTTGGTAAGGCCACACTTGGAATACTGCATCCAGTTTTGGTCACCACGATGTAAAAAAGATGTTAAGACTCTAGAAAGAGTACAGATAAGAGCAACAAAGATGATTAGGGGACTGGAGGCTAAAGCATATAAGGAAAGGTTGATGGAAATGGGTATGTCTAGTTTAATGAAGAGAAGGACGAGGGGGGATATGATAGCAGTATTCCAATATCTCAGGGGCTGTCACAAAGAAGAGGGAGTCAAGCTATTTTCCAAGGCGCCTGAAAGCAGAACAACAAGCAGTGGGTGGAAACTAATCAAGGAGAGAAGCAACCTAGAACTAAGGAGAAACTTCCTGACAGTTAGAACAATTAACCAGTGGAACAACCTGCCTCCAGAGGTGGTGAATGCTCCAACACTGGAAGTTTTTAAGAAGAGACTGGATGGCCATTTATCTGAAATGGTATAGGGTTTCCTGCCTGAGCAGGGGGTTGGACCAGATGACCTCCAAGGTCCCTTCCAACTTCATTATCATCATCATCATCATCATCATCATCATCATCATCATTATTATTATTTAATATATGAATGCTTTTATGTTGATACCATTGTTTAAACTGTTAAATTATGTATAGATCTTTGCTCTGTAATCACCTTTGACAGAGGCATTTATGTAACACGTGGGGCTTTTACCCAGTAAAAACATATTCACGGGCACTCAAGACATTTTCCCTCTTTCTCTCATCAATCTGTGCATGAATGCAATTTTAATCTGTTTGATTATTGTTCCTCTTAACTGCTCAGTGAAGTGTAAAGTCCTCATTGCTAAGCCACACTTTAACATTCAGAAATCGTTAGAATTGCATGTTTCCCCATTCCTTGCACTCTTCCTTCTGAGCTCACTAATTCTAGTGTAGTGCTTCATAATGTGCAAAAGAAATAACTTTGAGTTACTCTTCATTTACAAACAAATACCTTAAACCATAATTTATAGGACATTATTATATCCCTCTGCCTCCCTGCAGGGCATTAGTATCCTATTTTAACTTATAATTTTTGCTGAAAGCTGAACTTTGGGCCAGTCATTCTCTCTCAGTCCTATGAAGCAGGCAATGGCAAGCCACTTTGGAAATCTTGCCAAGAAAACTGCAAGGACCATTCAGGCAGTTGCCAAAAATAAATACCATCTCAAAGGCACTGGAAACAAAAAAAAGATGTACTTTATTTACCTTGCCTGCATACCTAAAACTGGTTATTATCAACTGCTGCTTTTTTCCTGCAAAGTTGAGATTAGCATAAAAGAGGGAGCATAGACTATTTCACATTCATATTGTTCCCTAGGGCAGAATGCTGAAAATATTTCAAGTTTGGGTCAGTTAGAATACAATCAATTCAAAAGGAATGTGGTTGTTTGTTCCAAGCTCATAATAAAATTGTTTTTTATGATTTTGCATACTTGGGGTAGTATATTGGTGGAGAATCATCACTGTAGATAGGTGCAGTCCAGAAAAATGAACAATTTTGGACCTTCCAATAAAGTAATATTTTTCTTTCATTATATTCTAGTCATCATCTCTGTATACCACTTTTGATGAAGTAAGTTCTTTATAAGAGTCTTTGAATTATTTGATAAAGTGCTAGTCAATTGTTCTTTTAAACTTGGCATGCTAAAATTAGCTAAAATTACAGTATGGAAAATTCAGTGAAGACATTTTTTAAAAATATATTGTTGAGATTTTAAGCTTTATAATACTACAATAGCCTGTGTGTCTTACGAGAAAAAAGATAGAAAGCATTTCATAAATGGGGAGAAAAAACGTACAATAATTACAGCAATGCATCTCTTCTTTGATAGGCCTAAATTAGTTTCTAATCAATAGTATTCAGTAGAGTCAGAATAATTGGATTTCATATCCAATTAAAGATTGGATACTGCATATTTATGGTGTAGAATGCAGCATGTTACTCCTTGCTCAACTTGGGAGGGAATGCAGTGCTTGCTAGAGAAGCATATTTTTATGGTCCCATATAAATACTGTTCTAGGCTACTATTTTCTATAGATTCTATTAACTTGACTAATTTCAATATATTTTTATTAGGCAGGTTTTATGATACAGAAGGCCCAAATCAGGTTAATTTTGAGTGAAACTGTTTATCAGGATTCTTTTCAGACTAGCTTCTAGCATGATTTTAAGATATTAAAATTGAGTTATTACTCTTGATTGGCCATATGTATTGTCTGTACCAATAATGAAAAGAAGGGCATATCTAACAGTTCTTCTGGGACCATATAGCTATTTTCATACATACGGTACGTGCCTATATAGCCACCATGTTATGAAAAGTGCAAAAGTAAATTTGTAGTACAGTATGCCCCAAGTTCAAGAAAAGCTTTGTTTTATTTATTTTATTTATTAAATTTATATGCTGCCCATCCCACATTATCTTCATCCTGTTCAACCTCTTCAATGTAATCTAGGTTCTTATCTAAACAAGAGACTATCTTATTTAACCAACATGCTGTGGCCTGCATTCCATCAACAAGGAGATGCGTGTCATATATTGTTCTATATGTTGGAATTTGCATCTTGAAGTGTTATAAACCATATTGTCTTAGGCAGAAACAAAGTATAAAGTGAAATGTCAGCATCTACCTTGTTCCCCTAATCACTTTGTAAGGATGAGACATGGATGCACTACCCTATTTTGCATTGTCACGTCCTAGAAGGCATTGGCACAATCCAATGTTTCCAAGAAAGATATAGCAAAAATGTGCACAAATGCTGCAGTGGCCAGAACATAGTCAATTCTGCCTGATTTTTCTTAGATAAGTTCCCAGAGTTCCATTGCAAGCCTCTGCTCCTATTAAATCAAAACCTGTTCCATTAATTCTTAAATGTATTTCACATCCCTTATTTTTCCTATGTAGATACTAGCAAAACAGTTGAATAATGAAGAAATGAATCAGCTCCCCGGAGTCCTTGGTGAATCAGCAATGGTGATGTAATTAAGTTTTGGGGGTTTTGTGTTTCAGTTGGGAATGCTGAATACTTCTAGGTTCACAAAGCTACATAGATTTCTGTATTCATATGCAACATTCAAGCTTTTAAAATTGGGAAAAAATCACATTAACTTATTAGGCCACAATTTTTTAAAAAAAATACAGTTATGGACATGTGAGAATGCTACACATATACAGAGTTTGACATTCAGTTTTCATTATCAAAGAAGAAAAATGATTTAAGTAGTTTCTTTCCAACTATTGCAAAAAGTGGCAACTAAGGGTTGCTATTTTGGGTTGGGTTTTGACTTCTTCCAAGGTTTTCTTTGATGTATGACTGTAAACAACTGGAATATTTGAAGTACAGTAGATCAAATGATGATGAGAAAAAAAATCATCTTATTGGCACATTTTGGCAGGAATTTCTTTGGGATTTTTTGAACCATCAAGAAGGCCCACGTGTTAGAGACCATCTGAGCCATGGAGAAATCAGCTTAAATCACTTCCCAAGAGAAATAGCAAATTCCATGCTTTCATTTTCTATTACACTCCTCTGCAGATTTTCACGGGATGACTTGGCTTCCATTAAGGTAAGGAACATGCCAACTTACACTAAATTTTAAACTACATTAAAATTACGCTGTTGTAGCTTTCAAATCCAAATGTTTATGTATTTAGAGCATACGGTCTCCTTGTTCTATATAGCATATCTGTATGTTTTGTAAATCTTTGTTTATGGAGACAGAGCAACCTGGTGGCCTACCTGTAGTCCTACTTTTTAGATGGCCGCTTGATTGCCACATTCCCTGAAAAGTTATTTCCAAAGGGGAAATTTCTATCCTGAATATCATTTAATGTAACATAAAGGAATAAAGCCAGAAGGAAATTCAACTATTTGTCTTTTTATATGATTTTTTAAAGAAAGAGGCAGCAAAACTACCTTTGTTCCTTTTCCCAGTTTTCTATTATTATTATTGGCTTACTTATTTATTTGTTTTTATAATTCAGAGACATTCTCAGATCAGATATGCATATGTATGTAACATTCAATATTCATCACACTATTATTCCCTTTCAAGATAAGCAGTGTTATGCAAAGTTGAGACAAGGAGTATGAAGTATTAAACCAAAAAACTAAGGCATAATTCTTATATAAGGCACAAGAAAAAGAAAAAGGAAAGATTTTATATGCATATGCCACTGTGCTGTTCCATTTGAGAATAAGCAATGACATGTAAAGTGCAGAAAAAGAGTAGAAAGTAGTAAGCAAAATAAATTTAAGACAAAAAATAAGAAAAGTAAACATAGCTGAATATTTTAAATCAACACTATTCCCTATATAAATACCTTTCTATCCTTGCAAAACATTATACTTTCCACCACATCCATTCACAGTTCATATGTTGCCTTTTATTCTTTATAATTGTCACCTCTCTCTTTTTGAGGATTGTTTCAACAAACAATTTTACAATTGAGAGATATTTTGGTACTTTTATTTTGTAATAAACTTGTGAACTCATTTCAGTGCATTGCCTTTAATTTCAGCAGAAATTTATTTGCGAAAATGCTTTGAAATAAGATTGTATTTTATCATTTACTTTAACATGTCTTTAAACAGGAACACGAATTCTTAAAACTGTTAATGACTTGTGCAAATAATTACTGTACCAGGTTTCATCCAATAATTCAGCTTAAAAAACAGGTATGTAATAGTCTTTTTTGCCATTGTTGCTTTGAATTTATACTAGCAGCTTTAAATTGAATAAAGTAATAAAATATTATAAATTGAATTAAATGTAATATTCAATTAAAATAAATCGAATATTATTAAATTGAATAGCCATATTAATTAATATGGCTTTAAATCATGTTGATGAAAGTGTGAGATTTGCGCATAAAAAGAAGCCCAGCATGATTGGTCCTTAGTGCTCTCAGACCTGGGTTGTTTTCTTGCAGACATTTCATTACCCAAACTAGGTTAACATCATCAGTACTAGTCCAGCATGTTAAGTCAATGTTTGACAGCACCTGAAGTTTTATTGAAAATTATAGACAGTCCAAAAAGTTTAATCAGGTATAGGTTTATATTTTTTTTTATTTCAGAAAAAAAATTATTAGCAAATCTGTGCATTGGCATGGATCCTGAACATTCAAGAGGAAATCTCCTTTTGATTGCAGTGGTATAGGATAGAAAACTATTGGGAAAACATTCCCACATATCCTATTAAAAGCAACAAAACAGTGGCTTCGGTGTTTATTGGTCTGCACTCACGGAGCATTCTCAGTAAGAGAAGGCAGAAGTAGAACAAGCAGTTTTAATAGCTTTTAGCCTTTAATTACATCTTTGATGATTCCGAGGCCCTGCAGCACAACATGTTTGAGATCATGGGAATTTCTGGAATCATTAGTTTAATGAAAGTAAGATAAATTGTTCTGTAATTTTTGTTTCTCTTTCTAGATCCTGAACTGCATAAAAAGTATCACCTCTTGGCCAGATTTTCCCATGGAGCCTGAAGAACAAGAAATTTCAGGGTAATACCTTTTTCCTCCTTCCCTTCTTGGAGTCATAACCAGAGGATTGAAAGAAATAGATGATGAATTTGTTTGTTGACAATTGCATGAATGATCGTCACCAGTCACAACGGACTCAGCAAGCCTTGAAACAGGTCTTTATGGCCTGTAAAACAATTCCAGCCTATTGTAAAATGCTGCCTGCCTCCCCCATGACATGACCACATTTAGGGCTCTTAGCAACCTGTTCATATTTATGGTTGCCAAGTGCCCTACAATCATGTGGTCACCATTTGCAATCTTCTCAGCCTTCTTTCCCAGAAAATCAATGGGAACGCCAGCAGGGAAGGTTGCAGCTAGAGCATTGGATTTGAGGTCATTTCCCTAACGTACCGAACCATAGTATTTCCCCTCACCTCTGTATCAGTGTATCCAGAGGGGACAAACTGATGAACACCAGTATTCTGAGCCTTTCAGAACAATGGCATTTGCTAGCATTTTTGTCAGTTTTGAGATCTGTTCTTCCAGCATATCAAAGGATTTCTCCTCTGGAGGGGAAATCTCTTGACCTGCTGGAGGAATGGACTTCAGATCAGGTAAAAATGCTAGCAAATACCATAGTTCTCATGATTGTTCTCCTGGTGGGCTAGAATACAAGTTTGCTTTACACCCTTACTGGTAGACATGAAAAATTATTTGGAAATATGTGTTATGAATGCTGCAAGTGTCTGTCACTAGATCACTCCAATTTGGACTACAGTCATTCTCTAGACACTGAGGCTATTTTAAAATCAATAAATACCACCCTGGGAGAAATACATATGTCTCAATTAGATGCCAAGCACAATGAAGATACACAGAAAGAGAGAGGACTAAAGGAATCCTTTTATTTTTGTAAGGGATACATATCAATGGTCAGACAAATTCTCCGGAAATAACAATTTTTTTAAGGGCGCAATTCTACTCCTAAACTTTATCATGTTGTAGGACAGAGGTGAACAGTCTGAGGTGTGTGTAGGGAACTGAAAGCCTTGACTGTATTCCACAAAGAACATGAAAGAAAATATTATCAAACTGTAGATTTTAACGTGACTGAAGATAAATAAGATTAAATGCAAATTTGGAGAGGAATTATATTAATGATCTTTCTTTTTTTCAATGTAAATAAAACATTATATCTAATTTAGATTTTGTTCAAGATTCATTCAGGTGCAATATTTCTTTTCAGTTTTCAGTATAGGAAATGGGGATTGTTGGGATGTAAAGTGTTTATTGCAGTAAAATAAATACTTATTTGTGTCTTAAAGAAAACTAAATCTTGGGTGAATTTGTATTGTAATAACTTATTTTTATTTTTAGGTCAGGAAAAGATACTGCCCCCTGTATTCTTATGATCAGTGATATTTTGTCTCAATTGCAGCCCTATTTGTCTGTGAATGTTACACTATTAGGTGATTCCTTAAACAATCTGCTAACTGAGAAGTAAGTTTTATAAGATATTGTGGGCCCTTTTTCAAATATGAGAACACATTTTATTCTATTAATGCTTTGTCATTCTTTGGAGTTTCATTTATGTTAAATATCATAATATAGCATTCAGATATTTACTGGACCAAACCCAAGAAAATAGCATTTTAGTTTGGCATGATAGATGATTCCAACCATTTTGATTTTAAATCATAATGTAAACCTTTGCATTGTGTTGTGGAAACTGCGTCGGTTGTGGCTTACTCAATAAACCATGGATAAATTAATGTGATACATGAATGCAGCCATCATGTTGTTTAGCAAGCATTTTTTATAAAGTGTGCCTGAAGTTGGCTTGTCTCTGTTACCTATAATTGAATTAATACAGTTTGGATTTGAATGTCAGTAGAAACTGCATTTAATGGAAATGGAAATAAACTTCCGAATTCCTTACAGTTACACTAGAGACGTATTGAAAAATCTTTATTTAATATGGAAGTACTGAATGTAAACTTTTTTTATATTCATAGAAAGATGATATTTGTCATAAGTAATAACTAATTTTAGTGCAACCTTTTTTTTCTGTTCAGGTTACTGACTGAACTTTGTAGCAAGCACATTCATACCCTTTTCTCTCCACGAACTGTCCTGGAAACCATTGTGGTGCTTCGCCAGATAAGCACCCATTGCCATCATGTGTCATGTCAAGTCATTTCAGTTTGTGAAACCAGATATAAACAGTGGATAAGCAAGTCACTGAGATCTCGCCAACGACTTACCTTTCTGCGCATGAGAAGAAGGTGGGAAGTATCTTACTTTTAAGAGAATGAGACTTTTAACGGAAGGTGGTTTTAAAATAAACTATCTAAGAAAGTAATTTCAATACTGTACAGAACTACATTTTTGTAACACTGACTTGATCCTTCCAAAGTTAATATCATTAATTGTCATGAAAGGTTCTCATTGAAATGAGTGAGATTTAGCGGTATGTTAATGTAGCTAGAATATCAGCATATTGCTAGGAAAATCTGGGTTTATTCAGCTGATGCTGATGGGTCTTCAGCTGGTAAACAAATCCCAATCTGATTTGCTTAGGAATAATGCCTTGAATTCTTAGCAGAAAAAATGGGATATAGATTTTAATAAATGGTAACGTTTGTGGCTAATTTGGAACAGAATGTGAGCAGCTAATTAAAATATTATTTTAAAAAAAATTAAGGGGGAAAGCTGATAGAAAGAGATTTTCAAACAGTACATATATATATTCCTGCCAATTGGCAATTTCAGCTAATTGCTATTCATTTAGCTTATCCCTCTTTTTATACTGTATGTTCTCCAGATGCACTTCCTGGCTTTATTATTTTGGGTCCATGTAATATTATTTTAATGTTAAATGTTTTAGATGTATATTTACTTACTTGCTTTATTTTTTCTTCCAGTATCAAATTTCTGTCCCCAGTTTTGCAACTCGTTTTAATCTTGATTACCCTGGAGCTAGGGAACATTCATATGATTTGCAGGAAAAATACTTTTGAATGTCAGAAGTACTTAAAGTGAGTATAATGTTCTTTTCTTGCAGAATATTCTAACGTTAGATGTTTTTTTCATTAGCAATCATCTAACTGGTAATTCCCAGTAATTTACAATTCTTTGCTTTCTTATATCATTCCGTTTTTTATAGCACTCAGTCTCTAAAGATGCACATTAAGGATATCATTGCATTTAAAATATATTTCTTCACTTGTTGTTCTTGCTGCTGTTTTTTTTTTTTTCCCTTCTTTAAATAGCTGCTTGGACTGAATTGGATTTAAAACTGTGGTATATATAAAACATGATATTTTTAAAGCTATGAAATGGTACAAATTCAATGCTGTCACAGTTTTGATGTAATATTTGAATGGCACTCATTATTTAAAACTGCAGCCCTACACATATTTTAATCAGCAGGGGAAGATACAGTGAGAAACTGCAAACTGACTATTCGAAA